TAGCCGCTAAGCCGCTAATAGCCGTGCTTCGCAAGACGAAAAAACCGCAAGACGAAGAGACTCGCGGAACGGATTAATTTCGTCTTGCGAGGCACCACTGTAAAGGGGAATGGGGAGAACAGTTCAGTAAATAAGAACAGATGCAGTGAAACTCTGACCTTTAAGAGGAGTGCAGTCAGATCCAAAATAGGTATATTGCCATACGTTAGGACAACTGAACTAATCATCATCATTATACATTTTTTCCCTCCCCCGCCTCCTTTTCCCCTTGTATGTAATGTATTTTAGATTGTAAACCTGAGACCAGGGACTACTGCTGCAGAGAGCAGAGTAAGCTGTACTGGGAGCCTTTTTTTTTTTTTGCGCTGAAGAGTAGAGTAAAAATGTTTTAAATAATGTGGAAAGTGTTGCCCTATTAGTCCTCCAGAGTGATTATGACATTAATATTTGTTCCTATAGCAGCTGCACACTGTGCACCAGCCAATTAAATGGAAACATTCCCTGTCCACAAGCTTAGAGTACAAGGTAGCCGTAGTGCATGAGGAAAGTAAGGGATGCAGCAGTAGGAAAATTGAAATCAGGAGATTAAGTGACAAGCCAAAGATGATGAACGTGACATAATGATGGTCACATACCCAGCCCAAATTTCTGCCTGGCAGTGATTGCAAAGGGAAAGATTGGTACTCAGCCTTCTGGACCAAAAATATTATTCAACAATCCAAGAAAGAGCTTGTGCCTTTGCTGACAATCATTACTATGCAAAGCTTATGCAGATTTGAAGTTCTCAGGGGCTGTAATATTTGTTGAGAGAAAAGCGTCTGTTGGATATATTTCTGGATAGGAGCAATTATTTGAAAATGTGTATTTAAATACTTTTAGAATGGAGGTTCTCCAAGTACCGTGGCACCTCGGGTTAAGAACTTAATTTGTTCCGGAGGTCCGTTCTTAACCTGAAACTGTTCTTAACCTGAAGCACCACTTTAGCTCATGGGGCCTCCTGCTGCCGCCATGCCACCAGAGCACGATTTCTTTTCTCATCCTGAAGCAAAGTTCATAACCCGAGGTACTATTTCTGGGTTAGCGGAGTCTGTAACCTGAAGCGTATGTAACCCAAGGTACCACTGTAGAGAGTATATACCTCTGTAGAGAGGTGCAAATTTTTGGCAAAGGAGGCTGAACAGGTCTGTAGTTCACATGTGTATTCACTAGCTTCTCATATATATTCTACATTTCATGCCGTTAATGAAATATTTAAAGTAATTATAACTTTCAAAAAATGATGTTATTTTTATTTTTATTGATCTGATAGTTGGCACTCATAAATATAACTTTTAAAGCCAAATATTGGACTTACAGCATCAAGAAACACACACACTTTATATTATGTAATAATAAATACAAACTAGCCCAAATGTTAAAATTCTATCAGAAAAACTTTTTTTCAGCTTTATGAGTCAGTAATGCCCAGTTTGAGCTTGGAAGACATATTTCAGAATTATTTATAAACACTTCAAAGCGCTTTCTTTGGGAAATGTTGATCTTCTCCCTACTCTCTTCCTTTCTAGTCTCAATTCATAGAGTGCGAATACGCTATTATGTATGATACTGTGGGTAGCTTGATAAGTGTGAAGGGCTGGTTGGTTGAAAATGCATTTTTCTAGGACTTTAAGTTGTAAAGTGTTTTTACCTGTTACAGTAATAATAAAAAAGGCTTGTATGTTCCTGTGATGTGTTTGATTCTACCCTGCAGTGATTCATTGTGGGCCTCTCTCACAGCTAAGTGCTTGCTGCTTGTGATCAGAGAAAAATGCTACACACCTTCAGCTTCGTGCCTATTAAATTCAGGCTTCTACTGTAGGCAGTTTTACAGAGTTATCTTTGAATTAAAAAGCATTTTAAACTCAGAAGCTGAACTGCAAATGTAAAAAGGCATTTGGTCCCCTATAGGTCTACAGTAAGTTTAAAAATATACTTTGGCTCCTACTTACCACTCACTTTGCACATTTTCATTCCCTTTCACAGAGATTGCCCTCTTCAAACACTTGTAGGTTTTCCTATAGTAGAACCCAATTTCCCAATTGGGAAGTGAGGATTGCCTCTTACAGAATTGCCAAGATAAGCTGCTGCATCCAGTAAACTACAGATATATTTTAAAATCATATTGTGCACAGTTAGCTTCGAGGACATCTGATGTTACTTTTTTATGTGTTCTTTGAGTTCCCCCCCCCCATACATTTCTCAATATGTATGTAGGTATCTCATGTGTCTATTTTATTGTCATAGTCCTTTTGAAATTGTTTCTCAAGTTTGCAATTTTTCCAGACATGCAACTTTGCAGTAAAATAAGCATGTCTGTAACATGTGTAGGTGGCATTTGCACATGGCTCTCGAGATACGTGTTTTAAAATACATCAGCATATCAAAGCCAAGGTCCGTTCACGTTCTCAAATTAAGCTTTTTTCTGTAGATAAATAAAGTAATTAATGGCATCTATAAACATGGCTTATGTTTATTAATCCAAATTGTAACATCATGTGACGTTGATGAATCCAAAAGGATAGTCTTACTTGGGAAGAAAATACATTTCAAGGATGTTGTTTTGACCGCCCTGAATAACATTTTAAACATTTAAGTTTTTTTAAAAAATAAAATTAAAAGTCACAGGATGTGCCCCTCTGCTTCCGCAGTCAGAACTTTCCTTATCAGGGGTTCTGATCACAGGGAGACCTGCAAGCAAATGTGCTTTCAAGCCCCCTTCAGACCTTGGTGTAAAAGAAGTGAAAGCTGGGGCCCTTGCATATCCAAGCTGAATGCCTAACGCAAACTCGTGTTATGTTCTTGGGAAACAAGAGCCTGAGCTGTGGAGCCCAGAAATAAATGATCCAGGGAGCAGACACCGTGAGTGCAGGTGTTACATAATGCCATGGGAAAGCCGAAGTGCTTCTACTCCCACTTCCTTCTAAGCTGGGTGCTTCACAGGACGAGTAAGTAAACATACTTGTGCTGCCCTTCTCTTGCTCTCTCAGTTCACTGTGTGTAATAGCTGAAGGTTTTTGTGCACTTTTGGAACATAGCACAGAATTTCTGAAACTCTGACTAAGCTGCTGAGCCTCTTTGTCCACCTCTTTCCTACTCAACAAAACAGTCCACCTTCATGTTGGAATGAACTTAATCTTATGAGGCTAGATTAAAATACGTTGTCAGTTTTCTCAAGACACATTTTGTGTGCATAATGCATTTGTGTGTGCTGCGGAGACACAGTGCATGCTTACTGGAATATAGCCAAGTATAGTTCTCGTGCTTCACTGTGTTGACCCGCATCTTTGAAGCATCTGGGCAAGCACTACAGTGGATCTCTCGAGAGCACTAGATGTAGGAGCCCGCTCTGCTGCCTCCTGTGTGATGAGCCTGCAGCACTCTGATCCTTTGCCTCTTCTAGGAGACAGGGCATTATTCGTCCTGACCCAAGCTCTGACTCCAGGTCCTGGGCTGCATTCACAGGCTTGGCAAATGCTCTTTGGAAGGGCAATCCTCTTAACATAGGTTTCTGAGCTTTCTGAGACTACTAAGCTATCTTTTTCATACAAGATATTTCATGAGCTCTACTCCAGCTAGTCCCTGGGATGCTTCATCTCTTACAGCTGCCTATGGGCTCAGCTTGAAATGAAATGCTTGTGTCACAAAAAAATTGGTATTTATGAGTTGTGTTCTGTACAATCATTCTCATTCTTTAAAAATACGTAATAGGTTAAGATCTATTGAAGTACAATAACCACTTTATAAAGTACAGTCAAACCTCTGTTCCCAAACGCCTCCGTTGTGGAACGTTTTGGCTCCCAAACGTTCCGGTTTTCGAATGTTTTTCAGAAGCCAAACGTCCAACGCAGCTTCCGCTTGAGTACAGGAAGCTTCTGCAGCCAATCGGAAGCCATGCCTTGGTTGTCAAACATTTCAGAAGCCAAACAGGCTTCTGGAATGGATTACGTTCGACAACCGAGGTTTGACTGTATTCAGTTTTGCCCTCCCCTTTACTTTCCCTTCTACGTGGGTGCTGTTTCTCTTTTTCTTTCTCTCTCTTTTATTTACGTCTCACCATGTTTAGTGCACATATAATTATGTACTTTTAAACTTTTGGTAAAGATGTCTGGGGGAAAATAGTTGTCTACCAAAACACTAGTCTTTGCTGTTTAGGAAAAACTGTTTAGGGAAGGCAAGTTAGTTGGGTAGATAGGCATAGATCCTTCTGGTTACAAATCGCTGGCATAGGGGGTGGAACTGGGATTGACCCTAGGAACTCGTACTTCATGCCTGCCAATTGCAGCGTTGGTATTCAGTGCAGTGCTGGAAAAGAGAACCCAGTCTGGTGCAGAATCAGTACTACTTTTCCCTGTGCTCCTATTGTAGGCAGATTAAGTATATTTGCTTCAGAGTATGGTTGTAAGTAGAATTGTTGGGCAGTATACATCCGATAGATGGAAACTATTATATGGGAGTCCTTGGCAGAGTTTTCTCCCTGCCTCATCTCCTCCCCCCACTATTTCTTGCTTCCTTTTTCCTCCTTTGCTGTGCTGCACATTTGCCGCCGCTTTGTGTCAGCAGTTTATGTTCTGCGTGTTTAATGAAGTCCACGGCTCGGCTCAGCACAGTCTTTCCCCTTACACTAACAGAATTTTGATCAATGACGTTTCCTCAGGAGGAGATTTCAGAATGGGTGTTGACTGGAAGGGTCTGGGAAATTGTGAAGGTGGGCATATTACAGCTATTTTATCAAAGAAAATGAAGCTGTTCCTTGCTCTCTCAAGTGCCCATTGTCATACACTGTGTGGCTTTTTTGTTTCTTGCAAAATGCAATTGGTGGGGGGAAAGATGTGGTAGTTGGCCAGTGGTTTAAATCAACATATTAATTGATGGAGCTGTATGATTTTTTTTTAATCACTGGTGTTATATTTGAACACATATTTAATAAATTTTGATAAGGCAAGCCTAGAGCAAAGCCACATGCAGAGTTTGCAGTCTTGGGGTAGGCTATTCTGCTGCATTTCTGCAACAGGAACAGCTCTTAGTTGCACCCAATTTGAGCCTTCCAAGCACATTATAAGGCACATAGACACAGAGCAGTTTACCCTCCTACAGTGGAGAATGAAGAAAAGGAGGCAAGGCTAGAGCAGTTAATTTTGCAGAAACATTGCAGACAGGTTCCCCTCTGGGAGGGTTCTTTGGGCTCACAATAATTTGCTTCAATATTTTATTCAATATTTATTTGTTATTTCACACAGCAAGTTAGCAGTTCTCTCTGGGCACACAAGTATGCCCCTGCACCCAATTTGGAAATTGTCAATTGAGCAGAAATAAACTCCTACTGTATTTCTTGGAGTGGTATAAATATTTGAGAAATCAATCGGTTTCTGGAGGATAAGCAACATTAAAATCCTTACCAGTATGATGGATTCACATGACTGAAATAGTCTTCACATCTATTAGACTTCTGTTTTGGTATAAATCCTAGATCATTTGTTGTTGTTTAGTTGTTTAGTCATGTCCGACTCTTCGTGACCCCATGGACCAGAGCACGCCAGGCACTCCTGTCTTCCACTGCCTCCCACAGTTTGTCCTAGATCATATCCAGTGCTAATCAATGGGTCTACTGAGAATCTGTCTCATGTTGGGTATTAGTCATTGACATTATTCTCAGAAGCATCCTAAACAAATTTTGTGTGAAAGTAATTCAGTGGGGCCTATTTCCAAATAAATTATTTTGTTAATTTATTCGTCAGTTTTTTTAATGTAGCCCACTTGACATGGTTCCCATGTTTTAAAAATGTGATGCAGAATCATATTACAGATAACTCGCAACTTGCGCTCATTTAACTTGTGAACATTCAGCTTTATGCACTTAGCAAAAGGGAGCGGGCATCCAGGAAAAAATACTTTGGTAATCCCACCTGCCATTGAACCCAATGTCTTTTGACTAGACATGATTTTGGTTTTAGGTGTTATCTTTGGAACTTAACCCCAGCGTAGGTTGTGAACTGCCTGTAGCACTATTAACAATCATTAAAAAATATAGACCTGTTAAAACAGATAAAGAAATATAAATTTCGGTAGAAATAAAAAGCTTTCCATTCTAAGGTAGCTCTCTCTCTAAAAAATGTCTTATTTAAAAGAAGGCGGTCTGAAACAATTTTAGTTTTTGAAATTACACATGTGATTTCAGTTATAGTTATTATACTTAACTTTACAACAAAGCTCAGATTTATGGATTGAACCATGGAATCATTTTACAGTCTGCTTATTATTGGTAATTTTGCACCTAATATGGTGCAAGGACTGTAGAGGCTTCAACACTGTTATAAATACAAACATGTTTCTGTGGTTCAGACTTCAGAGACTAGATGTGTAAAGACATAGTTAAAGCGGAATCAGTGAGAAAGATAGAGTAAACAATCATTACAAATAGAAATATAAAATCCCTTAATATAATACAGGCCAGAATTGATATTTGAGACTGAAAGTTAAGAATTCTTAATTTTCACTTGCTGGAAGGCAGAATATCAGGAAATGAATCTATGGATCTATGAGACCAATAGCCATCAAGAGGGCAGGATTCCTTGCAACCCAAATGCTGGTGTTAGATATTCTATTTGAACATCTATATCCTCATACAATTTGAACAAAATTAAATGCCAATATTGGTGTCTGCAGAATAAACTGGCAATAGTGATCGCAACAAGGAAGGGACAAGGAGGCAGTTTCAACACCTATAGGAAGCAAGTTGATAAACAGAAGCTACAGTCACCTTCAAAGGTCCTTGGGGAGACCCAACCACAATTTAGGAACCAAGAAATGTTCCTCTTCTTTCCTATCTTTTGTACTGACATTGGGCGCAAGGTGTGTGAATACATAGTGTTGCATTGCTTTGGATTTCTTGTTTTGTTTGTTGTGCATACCTGTTGTTCCATTCTCTTAGGCAGTACAGCTTTAAGTGACAGAATGGAGATTGCAATCTGGTACAGGGATTACGAGAACACTCCCAGTCATTTAATTATAACTAAAAATAGCAGTTTTTGCATTACAAAAAGCAAATTGTCTCAGACAAAACCAATCTCTATAATGCATTCTTTGTCTTTTAACCACTACTGAGTAGCTTAATTTTTGAATTAATCAGTCATAAATTACATGAAATAGTATGACTCATTTGAAAGGAAGGGGCAAATATATTAAGGGTTAACTGGCTCATGTGAAGTGATCCTAAGAAGATGCCCTAAAGGTGTGATTGGTGTATTGTTTTAGCTCTTCTTAGGAATCGTGATAAAATAGTATGTGGAGCTTTCCATTCCCCATGCTGACTGCACCAGGGTATAACAACATAACATTCATGTGTCTCCATTAATGCCATTGTCCACAAAATGTATTTTGCCTTGGCAAGAAATTATATATATTGAAGCAATAACACCAATTTTTTTGATCATTTGCTGCTCTGCGCTATAATAGACCATACGCTTTTTACATTTAACTATTCAGTGCAAAAGAAATACATTGTATAGCTGTTAATTGGGAACATAGACGGTACTTCAAAATGATTAAATAGAAAAGTAGGTGAACAATTAGAAGATGAACAAATAGAAGGTATCTTTACAAATTATTCTGTCTGTATGACTTCAGTAGATTTTCAAAGAAGTAAAGGCTAGCTTTTGTACAAATAGCAAATACAAATACCATTGTGAACCTTTGATTCAACCTTATAGATTCATGTGAAGGAAGCCAGGGAACTGGTGGTTTCCAGTCAGATTTTTTTGGCCTGGATTTGGATTACCTTGGTCACCCTGGTGGTTTTTCTGCGCCTCTTGGTGACTTTTAATACCACTGACCCTGATACTGCTCCCCAGATGTTCCATTCTATAGGAAGGTTGGTGTGGTGTGCATCCTTCCATGTGTTGTAACATTGACATGGAACTGCTGGTAGAATTCATCTGGAGGTTTGGGTTGAGGTGTCACAATATGCAGACAATACATGGCATGGCTTATTCCAATTGTTTGATTCCTGGAAGACATTGGAAGTGACAAACTGGGGCCTGGAATCAATAAAGGACAGGAAGTCTGTTAACATGTTCAAACTTTATCAAGGTAGTGTGGTCAAGATTGTTGCCTGTCCAGGTGAGCTGATTTTTGTGTGTCCTGAATAAGGAAACACTCCCTCTTCAAGAGCTGCTTCACAGCTTGCGGGCACTCCTGAATCACTTACCATGGATGTCCAGATGGTGCAGTATATCCTGGAGAAGACATACTTGACATCAGTTATCCATGCTTTAGTTACTGCCAGTCTGGACTATTGCAATGCACTCTGATGGGGCTACATTTGAAGATGTTCAGAAGCTTCAATTGGTTGAAAACATGGCAGCCAGACTACAGGCCTCTACAATGGAATATATTGTTCTTGAGATAACCAAGTACTACACCACGGGGGGAGGGGGGCGGTTTAGAAACCAAAACCATATATAAAAGGATAACTTATGTAAGTAAATTGCTCTGAATTATATATTCCCATATAAGTGTTAAGAATGGTAAGTGACATCCTGAAATAATGGATTTGTGAGCATGAGAGACATGACTTCTCTATTCTCTTCCTCCTGTTACAATACACCAGATCCTCTCTTTCAGTGTTTTGCATCAGAAATTGAAGAAACTAATTTTAATGTAGATTTTACTGTTGCCATAATAATAATAATTAATAATAAATGATGTATAGATTGTGTGTATGAATGCATGTAGTACAACTCAAAGTTAATATCAGTGGGATTTTCCTTCTACTGAGATAATAGAGAATTCCACATGTATAAAGTAACTGATACAAGAATATGATTGGATAGGATTCTTTTTTATTGTTCAGGTACATTTATTATTATTATTATTATTATTATTATTATTATTATTATTATTATTATTAGTATATATATACTGCCCTTCATCCAGAAATCAGTTTACAACATATTTCTAATGTGAAATCTTCATATTTTTCTAGTTCTGAATGAGCTCTCCCATCTCCTTCAGCCATTACAATACAATTTTTTTAAAAGCAAAGTTGAATGCATCTAGCAACTGTGTAGTTGGACAAGTAACCACTAATGATGTGTAATATTAGTGTAATGTGATGGTCTTTCCAGTAGGCCCTGAAGAAATTTTAAACTATCATGCTCCAAAGCAAATAGAATTTAGGCATCAACATATATATTATTTTATTTTTGAGTGCTGTGTTTTTATTGAGAAGTTTACCTCAAAGAGTAAGTTTAAAAGGCAAAAGGGAAATGGAGACCTGCCAAGCTTGTTGGCTAGAGTCATGGACAAGAGCAAGGCCTGTCTGAACTGCCACTCAGTTTTTATTCTGCGAGTTTGCAGGGTTGGTGATTAGAGTGGCTTTCGCCCAATTATGCTGTGATTATTCCGCTGCACTGTAATTGACTGGGGAGATATGCTAATACCTGTCATTTGGGATGATAAAAGATGAGCGGAGGACGCAATGCATTATTTAGCTGGCTGTGTGATAGATGAGGGATGCGCAGAGTGCTTTAATTGCTGAGAAGAGAGGTTAAGCTGAACGAAAGGATGAATTAGAAATGAGTTTTTTTATGGGTTGTGGAAAAGTGAAATAAAGGAAAATGTTCTTTAAAACCGAAGGAGCAGATAGAAGCGAGCAGAACAAGGCTAGACCTTTTAGGCAGCTTACTCTATTAATTTAAATGTATAAGGGAAAATGCTATTTGGTGTTCAGTAAATACTAATATGCAGGTTCAGTAGATTTACATCCTTTAACAGGGAAAGAAACCCTTTAAGGAATTATTCTTTTAGATAGTATTTTGATAGCTTAGAGAATATATCTATATATCTGTCTATTGTACATAGTTTTTTGTATAAAAGATCAGTGCATATGAAAAGTGAAGTACTTTGAATATCCATAGAGAATGAATGAATCTAAAAATACAATTAGCAGAAATATGCCCTCCAAATAGCAAAACTCTTACTCTTTGAATAGGAAGAACATTTTTATAAGATGTCAAGGATTATGCAATTGCCAGTAGAAATCTATATGTACATTTTTATTTTTCATGTTGTGTAATGATATGCCCTTCCCAGCTATCAAAATATTGATCTAAGCCTACTTAATATCATACAACTGAATCATTATTCAAGATTTGAAATTTTTAGAAGCTTCTGTATGTTTTAGCAGTATTACATAAAATCAGAATTGCACCCCAAAAGAGCAGTTACAGAATTTTAAAAGCCGTATGGACTTAAGGACCTATTTTGTTTCAAATTGAGAGAAATTGCTCTTTAATGGTCCCTAGTTGTTCCTCTGTAGTCAAACTGCTATGAAATTACTTGTCCAGTATAGTACATTTTATTAACCAATTGCAATCAAACGTATTTTTGAATATTTAATGGATAAATCTGGAGGGGAAGCAGTGGTTGAAATGGATGCCAAGTTTCAATGAGAAAAGGACTCATTTGATTAAGTCCTGTTAAGGTCAATTATATAATTGACACCTTGTTTCCAAAATTTTCTCATATTTTGTCTTTCATGCACACACACTCATGACTGGAAACACTTTTACAACTTTCAGGCTTCTGTTAACTTGGTAATTTTGAAGTGGTTACTTTTAAAAGACCAATTTGTAAGGCCATTGGTTTCTTTTACAACATGGTTTTTATTGTTATGTATTGGTTAATATAATTTTTGTAAAATGGAAGTATTTCCAGTTACGCCTTGGCGTGTTTCCATCCCTTGACTTGACAGAGGTTGTATGCCAAATGTATTCTGAGAAGCCAGCAAACTTCAGCCTACAAGCACACCCTTCTACAGGATGGGAACCTCTTACCTTTTTTGCACAGTAGGCTACACTCCAGACCTGCAGAAGTCAGAGGTTCCTAAGCACACCAACATCCATCACTATCCAGGCAAGCAAGAGGTGTCTTCATAGTTCAAGGACACATTCCAGCCAGGCACCTGACCAGGACTTGGAGTACAAGTACTAAGGAGAGGTGATTTTGCCCTGAGAAAGTGACAAGGGCCAAATAGAGATGCCTGGAGGAGCCACATTCAGCTCCTGAGTCTGAGGTTCCCTATCCCTGCTATGTTCAATGATTTGATTTAAAATAATTAATGGACCTGTACAATCTGATTTGCATTATTTGGTTGTTGCATTTAAAGGAAAACAATTCAAAATTACTAAAAGCTGGCTCATCATGAGAACAATGAGAGGTTGATGAGTAAAAGTTTGATATACCTAAAGTTAATAGGTAACTTCTGAAATTATTTACCACAAGATGTGGAATTGGTCATTAGCCTGGCTAGTTTTAAAAGAGAATTAGATGAATTCAGGGATATCTAAAGTGAATGAAAAATGGTAATCAGAAAGAAAGATTGCCTTTAATCCACACATTGTAAAGGCAGAACCACAAACGGTTTTAAAAATAGCAATTAAAAAGAGGGGGGAAATTAAGTGGTATACAATGGAACCTCGGGTTGCAAATGTGATTTAGCGCTTTTGTGCATGCACAAGCGCCAAAACCCGGAAGTAACCTGTTCCGGTACTTCCGGGTTTGGCATGGTGCGCAACCAGAAATCGTGTAACCTGAAGCGTCTGTAACCTGAGGTACCACTGTACTAAATTCACAAACTCCTCTCATTAAATATGTTACATGCAGTACCAACAGAAATTTCATAGGGCATCTCCACACGAACACGCATGTTACAAACCAAGGTTCAAAACATTCCAGGTCCTCTCTCTCAGCCTCACTTCCCCAATTCCAAGATGGGTAGATCTAACAAATAATGATAAAAATATTAGTAGGTTAAAGCTGCAACGTTAATACTCGTGTCATATATTTTATGCATAAGTTTTAAAGTTTGGTTGTATTTTTCCTCTATTTTCTCGTTTTATCTTTTTGTAAATCACTTTGAGGTTTTTTACAATCAAGTGGTGTATGAATTTTATTAAATGAAAATATTAAATGAAAGCAGAGCAATATATTTGGCATCAGCTTGGATGCAGGAGTTGCTGGAAGGAGGCTTACATGACACCATCCAACCACCTTAGGGACTCACTCTGGATTTGTGTAGAGTTTATACTTTATCTGTTTCTTCTCCCAAAGGTATCTTGCAATTCAGTGGAGGTCCATGATAAGAGTTTTCCTTCTCTGTGATAGGCTACCTTCCCAGGTTGACAAGCCCCACCTGCTCCTCACTTCCCTTTAGGACATGTGCTGAAACTGTCTTCTTGACAGTCTGTGCAGTCTGGTCTCGTCTGCTCAATCCTCTGGAGCCTGTCTTTGCATGAAAGGGAAGCCCCTAACTCACTGAGGATTTGGGACCCATTGGCTACCATCACCAGGTTTGGCTAGCCAGTTGAAGCCATTTCACAGAGTGTGGCCGCTGTCACATGCCAACAGCTTCTAGGAGATACAGGTGAGAGCTGAGTGCAGGGTGGGGACCAAAAGTGGACAAACTATCCCTGAAGGAACACAGCTTGTCCCCCACCAGAGGTGCTCCCCCTCCCCTAAGTATCCATGTCAAGAGGATGTTCGTGGAAATATATTTGGTTTTCCAGGATAAACTGGGGTTGTGGTTGTGTTTACCCATGATGCTAAGCTTCAGTAAATGTGGAACTGAGTAAATGTTTCTGCAAATGATTTAAATTCTTACTAAGATTTACATTAATATGTCATTCATATATAAGCATCTAATAATATTTTGGGGAGTGACCTTTTCTTCAAGCACCATTGTGGAGTTTGGACTTCATCCTTGTGGATAATGCCTTTAAAAATTAGGGTGCTACTCAAATAAACCACAAAGTAATACTGCTTCAAATAATGTTTTACCTTGAGAAGGCATTGGGAGTCCACGGGGTAAATGAACATTTTCATATCCGTTTAAATAATATTTACAAATGCTTATCAAATCTATAGAGCACAAATTAATGGAGGAATCAGACCAACAATGATTGTAAGTCACTTTGGGTTGTCCTGGGCAATATAAAGTGACTGACCAAATGAATGAATGAATGCTAGCTTGCTATTAATATTAACACCAATGTATCTGATACAGGCTTAAATAAATTAGGAGTCAACTGAGCAGTGCTACACAACATTTTCATAAACTGATGCACATTTGTTTCAGACATTAGACAGAAATACAAAGACATATGGTTCAGAACTTGATATAATTATCTTACCTATTCCATTAAATGAATGTATACGTGTGTGTGTGTGTGTGTGTGTGTGTGTGTGTGTGCAAGTAATGTTATGTTATATGCATTAACATTATCAAAACTCGTTTAAATAGTTATATAAAACATTGTAATATCTTCTATGGTTCTTTGGGGTTTTTTGCTGCTTTTCAAGCTTATAAAATTTACTCGATCTACCACAGAGTCTGTTTCTTATTACCCCAGCGGGCTACAAGGATTCCTCAGATCATAGCCAGATATAACTACTGAAGGAACAAGCTGAGATCATCAAAACCTTATGACTGAATCACTGAAAACAAAAATAAAATGTACAGTTTTCACAGCCTACCCCAGAAATACATCAAGAGCACAGTAAGAAAAGCCTACAATACAAAATTACCTCTCACAAGCTCCAGCAAAGCCTTAGGAGTTAATAATACAAGAAATAAAACCGCTGTTATGATTGATAGATCCGTTAACGATTCTTATCACTTATTTCCAACACTGTCAGTCAAATACGTTCCAGTTATTTTAATGGGGAGGGGGAGTTTCGTTCCATTTTGTTTTTTGTTTTTTGCTTCAACCTTTAAATTTCAATTGCTTATTTTGAAATTATTATTATTATTATTATTATTATTATTATTATTATTATTATTTCTACCCCACCCATCTGGCTGGGTTTCCTCAGCCACTCTGTCTGGGCAGCTTCCAATGAAAGATTAAATATACAATTTAAAACGTATGTGCACTCCAAGTCAAACTTAATCACAGTTTTAATTTTTTCAACTAATTTCCAAATATATGAAGTACAGAAAACAAAAAAGGACTTAATTGTTAAAGAGCAGTTTATTTACATTTTCTGTCTGTCATAGGCTATAGAAAAGATGATGTAGGTTCAAAACCAAACCTTTCACATCTTGAAGGAGTTGCAAGAAGCTACTACAGTGGTACCTCAGGTTAAGAACTTCGTTATGGAGGTCCGTTCTTAACCTGAAACTGTTTAGCTAATGGGGCCTCCCGCTGCTGCTGCATGATTTCTGTTCTTATCCTGAAGCAAAGTTCTTAACCAGAGGTACTATTTCTGGGTTAGCGGAGTCTGTAACCTGAAGCGTCTGTAACCCGAGGTACCACTGTATAAGAAACCTGAACTACCAGGCAAAATGATGATCCCCCATATCTACCTTCCATATATTCCTTTAAATATGTGCACTTTGAGGTGGAAGGCTGCAAAAAATTTTAAACCCTATTTTCAGTGCCTAGATAAAGCTTGTTGAGCTGGATTGCTTTGAGTGCTATGCATCTAAATATTCCTAGGGCATCAGGGATAAGAAGCCCTCCTCTGCTGCATACATGCATACATGGACAACAAATGTTTCTCTTACAGACCCATACATGCATACATAGACAACAAATGTTTCTCTTACAGACCCATAGGTGGGTCTGTATCAGACCCATAGGTGGGTTGCAAAGCCTCTGCAGGTGTGGGTCATAGGCTTTATATGAAAACCCCAAATAATTTTGCTTGCAATCCCTAACTAATATGATGAATACCTCATAATAATGTTTTCTTCGTTGCCATATTGTAATGTTATGTTGACACTTGAGGTAATAAATCACCATGCCTAATAAATTTGGACTTGTGGGTCACCATGCCAAGAAGGTTGGGAACCACTGTCATAGGCTACATTCCAGCCATGCAAAAACCAGATGTTCCTACACACACAAATAATATACCATATTAAATATTTGGGTCTGTGGTTGAATCCAGTGCATGGGCAGAATGATTTCTGCTTGTGCAACATAGTTTATCCTCCTCCTCCCATCAAATCTGCTCCAGAGGGTTAGAGGAGATCCCAGGGCAGATTTTGAGGGGGTGTGATGGTGTGGAGGGTAGGAGAGGCGAAGGGAAATTTGCTACATGAATGCAATGCGGTGGCAGTCCAGATTCAGCTGGAATCTTAGAGGGCGGAAATGAAGGGCCAGTTCAGTTTCACAGTTGTGTCACTGGCGCAATGACTTTGTTGGAAATAAGACTGTGCATTAAAGTTAGGAGTTTTTGTGACGTTCATAACAAGCTTCCAAAAGATGAATTTGGCGGTTCATAATGCTCAGCTGTATTCTGAACAAAGCACAGTTTCCACCCATTTTGTAACACAGATTGCAACCCAAGTCAGTGCATATTTCTCTCTGCCTGGTGCCATCAGGTCTCAAGCTTCCTTGCACATATGCTGTTGCAGAGGAGGCCACATGCACCTTGCCAGGTAAATGGATGTGCGACAGGGGCTCACAATAGGAGATTGGAGGGTGCATAAAGGGGTCTGTATTTTAGAAACGAGATGCTTTATTTTTTGAAAGAAAGGTTTGATTGCCTGAGCTCAGTTCTAATTGAGCTGAGGGAAGAAAAGTGTCCATCACTAATTAAAAGCTGGACTGGACTGTGGCGGTAGATAGGCTGGACTAGAATGAAATAAACAGAAGGAGCTCAACAGAGTGTGGGCAACAGTGAAATTGACTAACCAGGAAATGATCCCATTTAAGTGATATAACATATACATCATGGTAAACTGCTGGGATCTTGCATGAAAAAAAATTGTCACACACTTTGAAGTTTAAATTATTTTGTAACTCGAGAAACGTCAAGATTGGGATACATATTTGGGATACTTTTTTTTTTTACAAAATATGTTAGAAATAAAATTTTAATTCCATTACACTCCTTCTTTAGGAAATAGGATAGTACAAGTGCATGAATTAGTTGTGGCTAATTTAACTCACATTTATTTCAGTTGAAGTTAAGCACAACTAAGTTTCTCTGGATGTCAGCTTTTTGTAGTAGTTGTTGTTGTTACATTCTTTACTAAGAGGAAACAACCTAAAGATCAATATATTCACCACTTAAGAGGGAAACACAGATTATCTTTCAAAGAAATTACATCTAAAAATATCAAGACTATTTGGCAGTGCCTTGTTTGTGCTGTAAGATCTTGAATGCTTTGATAATTGTAGCCTGTATTAGTTATGGTCTTGGCTGTATATTTTCTTATCTGCAATTGTCTTGAATTGAGGATTTATAAAGAATATATAAAAGGAATTCTTAGGGATTTGGGGTTTACTTAATAATGTCCACTGGTAACACATGATGAATCATTGATATGAAAATTAGAATTTTGGAAGGAAAAGTAAAAAGGAATATTAATGTTTTTACTTTTTTTAACAAAAACAAAACCCTGCTATTGCTGTTTGGGGACTGGTGAAGGAGGAAATCTATTTCTGTGGTTGTTGCCTAATAAACATCTACTCTGCCACTTCACATCAGCTTCTGTCCTTTCCAAGTAAATTAGTTCTTTGGGCAGCATGTCAAGAGGAAGTGTATTGTTCTTGGCAGGGCACTTGAATTTCTAATTACCAGATTCCTGCCTTAATTGCAATTACCTGGACACCCAGGCAGGGTGAACTTTTGGAAAAAGAATGTAATTAGTGCAAAAGAAATGTTGCTGCCAACTGCTTGTCTGAATACTTACAGTAAGCAGACCTCTGATAAGTTCACATCTCTAAAGATAGGCCGTCAGTCTATACAAAAGATGCTGAGAGTTGGTG